AAATAGTAACCCTATTGAGTAAGCGACTGGTTGAGGTACAAAATCCTATCATGACGGCCATGACATCCAACTGATAGTCATAACGACTTGATTGCAAGAGCGGAGCTCAACCACAAAAGTTGGTTTTTCTGTGAAATCCCATCCCCAAATTATTGTGAATTTTACTTTCCCCCTAAAGGTTTACTCATTTTTACAATTTAGTCCACTTATCTTTAACAAATCCGGACCATCCCTTTTAGATTCTCCTTCTCTCTCCGTTTGCCACGTGGCACCACCCTAACTCATCCACTATCTCTCTCTTTCTCTTTCCCGAGCTCTCTCTCTCACTCTCTCACTCTCGGATCTCACTCTCCCTCTCACTCCCTTTCCCGATCGACACCCACACACCCAACCAAACACCCTGACAACGGCGCGACACCACCACCACCCTCATAGACGTCCATTTCCTCTCCACCGTCTTCTTGAAGCTCCGGGGTACCCAGGGAACACCAAACCCAGGTACGGTGAACCGTGGCTGTGTGAGCCCAAATTCGGCCATCTCTGGCCGTTTCACGGCAAACCTCAGGTACCAACTTCTCCCTCTCACCTCTACCTTCAATTTCGTAGGTAGATTGTAAGTTATGGTGACCAAACGACGACGACCAGAGCTCAAGAAGCTCCGGCCTTCTTCTTCGACGAGAAACGGTTTGAATGACAGTGAACCCAAGCCCTTTGGGCCGTTTACGAGTTGGACCTTAGGCCCGTTAGCCGTTAAGCCCAAACCCAAAATCCTTTTACCTATTTATTTTCCTTTTATTTTTATTTAAACCCAAAACCCTTTTGTTGGGCCAAGCCTTCAGCCCAAGAACAAAGAGCTTCGACCCGTAAGCTCTTAAGCCCAAAACCCAAAACCCTTTGCTTTGGGCCGGGCTTTCAAGCCGAGGCCCCTTGAACCAAAACCTATCATATTAGGCCTTTGGGCCTTGGAACCCAAGCCCACTCATTTAGGCCTAACCCAGTCCAACCCTAAGCCCAAATTGGTTGACCCGGTTTGACCCGACCCTGTTGACTCGTTGACTTTGACTTTGACCGGTCAAAGGTCAACGTTGACTTTTCGACGTTTTTCGGGTTTTCGTCTGGGACCCTTTTCGACGTCCTAGACCCGATTTTGAAGTCCGTTTTCCCAAATTTAATTTTTTAAATATAGTTTTATTAATTGGACCCTTTATGTGCTTAAGGGCAATCTTTGTGACGTTTCCGTCTTCACTAGTTGCGTGGCTCTTCAGCAACTAAGTATCTGTGAGTGGACACTTTCTAAAATGCATGTTTTAATAGTAGAAATGCATACATGAAAAGCATGATTTTATGAGCACGTTTTAGATAACATTTTATGAGTAAATGGGATTTACCTTATATGATTATCATGACTACTTAGAATATTTTGGAAAACCATATTTTCTATCGAACCCATGTTCTTTGTAGGATATATAATGAATGACGATATACTATTTAGAACATGTTTTTACACACTTCTTTATAATATAGATGATGGATGATTTTATACCATGAAACTGTTTTTGAGATATATGTACCTATGTTTGGAAAGATTATATTCAATGGTTTTGTGCGTAGCTAGTGGACACATATTGGCTTCGGGTGGGTGTTGTAGGAGCCTTTGACACGCCCCGATCCCGATATTCCTCGAATACCAAGATAGGCACGTGCTGGCCAACACCCAAGGGTGACAAAAGCCATTTATTGAGTGCAATTGCTGAAAACAAGGGATAGATAAGACTTATAAATATAAAAGAATAAGAAATATGCATTTAAGGAACGTGTTCAAAGCACACAACTAATCTAGAACACTAAAAGAATTAATATAAAATTGAATGAACAAAGGAATGGGTTTTACACCGAGAGGACTCAAAGATGCCGATGCGGAAGTGTCTTGACGCCGGGATTGTATGCCTCGATTCTAAGTCCTGAAGGGGGCACAAATCATAACTTGTATATATCATGGTAAAATAGGTTTTCCGAAACCTAGCATGTCGTGCAATGTCTCAAATCATAACTTGTATATATAATATTCACTAGTGAATTGTCTGATAACCCCTAGACCCCATGCTGGCTCCTCGTCTTTGAGTAGACATTAAGAGGAAAATACACTTCAGGCCTCATGCCGGCCCCCCGTCCCTATGCTAAATAGCCAGAGGAAACACACTCCAAGCCTTATGCCAACACCAAACCGTCACCTGGGACTAACCGAAATCTATTCCTACGTCCCGTGGCGGAAAGGACCACTAGGTAAGTACAAATCCATTGAACATAAAAATATTGAAAAGCAACTTCATAGTATAAATTCATCCATCATCTATACTATAAAGAGGTGTTCGAAACATGTTATAAATATCATATCGTCATCCATCAGATATTCTATAAGAACACGGGTTATAGGAAAAATAGTAGTAATTCAATATAGTCTCAGTAAGCATGTTATCTCGCAAAACGTTTCATAAAACATAATCATTAAATCATGTTTTTCATGTATGCATTTATACTATCAAAACATGCATTTTTAGAAGGGGCCCACTCACATATACTTAGCCGCTGAAGAGCCAAGCAAACTAGCGAACATGGAAACGTCATCAATAATTGCCCCTAAGCACATAAATGGTACATTTAGTTAAATTTTACTTAAACGATTGAATTTGGAAAAACGGATTTCAAAAACGGGTCCAAGACGTCGAAATTAGCCTAGGAGAGGTCCCGTACGAAAACTTGAAAAGTCAACGATCAAAGTCAACGTTGACTGTTAATCGGTCAAAGTCAAAGTCACCAGGTCATGGGTCTGGGCTTGGATCTGGGTTGGGCTTAGGTTTTAGGGTTAGGTCTAGTGGATTTGGGCTTAGTCCTAAGGCCCGCATGCCTGGCTTACTAAGGTTTAAGGTTTTAGGCAAATGGGCCGAAGGCCCTGGTTCTCATATGGCCCGAAGGCCTGCCTGAAAGGGCTTGAAGCCCTGGGTTACTCACACGAGCCTGGGTTCACAACGTTTCACAATTGGGCTGGGCTTTTAAGCCTAGCTTGATTGTATTTGGGTTTTAAGTAAATAAAACAATATATCTTAAAAAGGGTTTTGGGTTGGGTTTTCAAACAGGCTTAAGGCTCGAGTTCTAAACAACCTAAACGGCCTGGTTTGCTTAATCTCGCCGGGGAAGGAGGCCGGAGCCTCTCGAGCTCCGGTCGACAGTAACTAGTAACCTAGGGATGCGATCTAGGTATGAAAACAAAGTACAAGATGAAAGGAAGAGGTTTATACCCACGATTCACCGTGAAGAAGATTAAGGTGACCAAAAACTGGGCTTGCACACCCACGGCTCGCCTAAAAATGGGTTTAACACATCCGAACTGATTTCAAGTCCAACCTTCACCACAACAGGTATACAAACTCAGAAATTCGTACTAACATCCAACTTAAGATAGGGTAATATGATTATGAGGCCCACCTACTCGGAAATGGTGGAGTTCGCCGGAGTTTTCCATTGCACCCTTTCGGTGCTTGTCATGGCAAAGGGAAGAGAGAGAGAGAGAGTGAGAGAAACTTCAACGTGTTGATGATCTTAATGAGGGAGTCTCGAGGGTGATGGGTTCATCAGGGCTATAAAGGGTCGATGGTCTGCGTGCATGCGTGTTCGACGAGAAAAAGAGAGAACAAAGATAGAGACTAGGGGGAAAAAGAGGAAAATGAAGAGAGAGAAAGAGAGAGAGAGAGGGAGGGAAAGAGTGAGACCAAGAGAGAGATGAAAGGCTTGGACCCAGGGGATAACAAACAAAGGTAGGCCCCTTGGCACACCTATTAAGACCCAAAAACAATTTTTTAAAAGGAAAAATATCCCCAAACTTAGTGAAAATACAAAATTACCTTTTTTGTTCCGTAAATCCCGGGAAGGGTTGTTACAGCCTTCGAGTGATTGATACTATATATGCCTTCGGGTGGGTATTGTAGGAGCCTGCGGGTGATTGACACTTGTGAAGGAAGTTTCTGAAGGAAGAGTTCTATATGCCTTCGGACAACATTGATACTACTAGTTAGCACACTATATACGAGATATGTTTCATGAGAAGTTTTATGGCATGCTAAGGTTTTCGGAAAACCTGTTACTTATTATGCTATTAGTTTCCATAAAACTTTGGGGGTTAGTATGTTGATAACTGTTTTATTTTATATATATATATATATATATTATATATATATATATATCAACTTGGTCCACTCATGTTTGTTTTACGCCCCTTAGGACTTAGATTCGAAACGTACCCGGCGTCAAGACACTTCCGCATTGGTATCTTCAAGTCCTTTCGGTGTAGGACTCATCCTCTTATTCATTCAATTTTATATTATTCTTTTTAGTATTCTAGATTAATTAGTACATCAATTTAGACAATTGTTGGAAGTTTTTTATTTTTATTTTTTTATCTACACTAAAGGAGTGTGGGAATAGACCTTGTGAAATTAATTCCTACTTTTTTCAGATCGCATTGGGTGGGCCAATTTTTTGCTTACATGGGCACAATTTTGAATTCACCTTGAGCATTTTTCATTTCCATATATCTATTTGGATTATGAAATGACATAATTAATACATGATGAAAAGGTTATAGCTGAATCATTTGGTGTCGCGTTTGATTGCTATTGGAGTTGGCGAAACTAAGTGCCATTAACCAACAAAAATAGTAACCCTATTGAGTGCGCGACTGGTTTAGGTACAAAATCCTATCATGACGGACATGAGATCCAACTGACTCGACCACAAACGTTGGTTTTTCCTTCGTCAATTTATTAAATCTTGGACTTTTGACATCCAAGTCTAGCTTGCATACTCTGCCAATTCCTTCTACCATGAGGTTGATCGGCCGCTGCTACTCCGCAAGAAAGAGTTGGTTAGACAAAGTGTGGTTGTTAAACAAATGTCCGTTTTTAGCAGGGTGCAGATTAAGCCAAAAACACAATTTTTTTCGGAGTTACCAAACGAGGGGTAGGAGCGTAAACGAAAATACCCATCAGCACAATCACCTTGCTTCCCACTCAAACTCGAGCAATGTAACGAAACAAGCTAGCTGAATTTTGCACGACTTGTTCACTTCTTTGCGTGTTCATACAAATTTTTGAGCCACGAATGGGTTTATTCACAAAAGCAAATATTTCTAAAACTTAAAGTACTTCTTCAGCACATCTTGTAGGACGGCCCAGATTCCAACAGAGCCACAATTTTGTAATGTCAAGGTAGCCTGCCTCACGATCAAGTTTTCAGATTTTAAAGAGCTGTCTGCAAACCTCTGCTTATGAGGTTCCATTTCATCCACGGCAGTTTCTAGATTCGCCATTGCCTCAGTTCGTTCCGTCTTTACTTGCGCCAGTTGGGCATTGACTCGCGCCAGTTCAGCCTCAAGTTCTGTAACCTTGGCATCATAATTGGCCACAATGTCTTTTCTCTCTTGGCATGTCTGCATGGCCAGTCCCATTTTAACTTTTATATCTTCGTGTTCGACTGCAAAATTTTCAGCTTGGGCAAGCTCTTTTACTGCAGCCACATACTTCGGCATTTCACCCTCCAAAGACGAAAGAAGATCCTTGAGCATGGAAGTGATCGTTGAATGGATCATCCCTTGTTCAGTCAAGAGTTTCACGGCTGCTTTGAACTCCTCATATGCCCCATTCGTGCTGAGAGTGTCTAGGCTGCTCCTTGCATAGCGGCTCACAGTGTCTAATGCAGCCAAAGTCTCTACTGATGGTTCTCTGGCTGAAGTGGACTTCAATAGATCCTCTGCAGCAGAAAGTCTTCTCAGAGTTCGATCAACTGCTGGAGAAGCAGGGCCATCCAGGTCACCATTTTGCATTTCTCTGCTAGCTGTAACATTGCCGACATTAGACGCCATGGACTCTAAGGTTTCTTGGGCATCCTGCATTAGAGTCCAGAGATCAGGACGAAGATTAAATTAAAAAAAAATGAATGTGGGTTCGGTCGGATTCTTAAGTCTTCTTGTGGAGTTGGCTCTGCCTGGCAAATAGAGGTTGGAAAAGAAATATTTACAACAGCACTTACTTGATTTGCTGCGTGAGCCCTCTTAGGAGCTTTATCAGAGTGCTCCAACCCAAGGTACTGCTCCCATGCACCATAAACATCTCTTCTCTGAAGAAAACAAAATTTCAAATGTTGGAAGTTAAAAAAGAAATCCACCTAGGCAATACCCATAAACATGGTTTAGATTGGCCTGCAGACATAATGTAAAAGAAAGGGGGACATGAGTTGCGATAGACCGTAGATACACCTGAAATCGGCTGGAAACAATGTCAGAATCCCGCAGGTACTCTGGACGACCAAGTGACAAGAATGCAAACTTCCACTGCACAACAAATGGGGAAATCGACAAGGAAGCAAAATAAAAGATCATTTATACTAGCGAAGGAACACTCTTTTTCCTCAAGTACCTTTGAGAACTCCTCATCCGGGACTTGCAATTTATTTTGTATCCTTATTTTAACTTCAGCTAAAGTTTCCCCTCCATGGATGACCAAGACGAAGGGTTTCCCAAAATTTTTTACTTGCTGTAAAATGTACAAATAATAAGAATATAAGACCGATTCGAAAAATGAACAGTATTTGGGTGAAACCTCTAACAGTAGTCAAATAGTTTACTTCTACCGTCTGGTTCAATACAGTGACTTTCGTGAAGTGGTAAACATGAATCAAGATATCATCGAGACCCAAGTTTTTCTCTTCTTCTGGAATCTGATACACAAGAAAGAAAGAAAAAAGGACAGCTGCATGAACAACAGAGGTACAATATGAATCCAATTCAATCCTGTACAATATAAGGGATGTTAATCCAGAACTGGAAAACAAAAAAACAACAACCAAGCCTTACACACTTAGCGGGGTCGGCTGGGAAAGGGAAAACAAACAAAATTACAAATCTTGCCCATAAAACTATATAAATTTTTTTCAACAGAATAAAACTAGAAACTCTTCAAAATAAAACTAAATAAAGAAGAGGCAAAAGGACTTGCCTCCTCTCCACGAATAGTCCAGTACTGGTCATTAATATTCTCAAATTTCTCACTGTTTGAGAAGATCTGAAATAGAACACAAGGAATTATGAGTGCTACATCAGACAAAATTACATCAGTCGTATACAGTATAAGGGATTCCGATACAATAAGATCCTTATGGAAAATATGCAAAAGCATCATGATACGAATCAGCATCACAAATGGGCCAGGCTACAATCACTTGAGACCAGAAAAAAAATAGCTAACATGCTGATACGTCAGGCATACCAGTAGTAATTACCTTGTAGATCTTGTGATCGAAAACCTCAAGCAGTCGGAGTTCTGCATTTGGATGAGACAGCTCTACCTGTTTCAGGTACACCACACTTTGAGAAATATCCGTTATAAGAAACTGTTTAAGAGGAGGCGATAACAATTTCTACCAATTTTGTCAAGTTATGATCACCACTGTAAGTTGAGTGTATCCATTATTGGCAACTATAAGAGACAGAAAGTACAAAAACCAGTAGAAGGGAGGGAAAAGACTAGTTTTCAATTAAAGGTCACATATTTTTACAAGCTCTGCAGCGCTAAAGTAATGTATCATAGCATCATTAGCATTCCTGAACAAACAATGAAAAACTGAAAACGCACAGAGGACTTCTCATACGATTGGCAGAAACTTTTAGATGGGAAGTGATGGATAATACATGGAATGCATAGATAGAGAGAAACTTCACCTTCGTTTTAAGTACATTAATCACATCCCCAACAGTGCTCTGTTTGGGCAATATAATACTGTAAATCCCCACCTGTAAACAAATTACACAAGATTATGATGTGCACAATCGTCCATAAGCATAAGATGCCGACCAAATATTCACACGGACCTCATCTTTTGTAGCATGATGAAAAGCAATTTTTAGAGTTTTTAGGCCTAGCCCTTCCAATTCTGGCAGGGGAATGTCCAAGACTTCATAGTACAAAATATCAGAGCTCTATAGAAGGAAAAGCGTAATTAGCACCCCCGGGCCACGAAACAGGACGCTTATGAGAGTGAGAGTAAAACAACAGAGGAAGCTCAGTACGATGCCACTTACTTGGTTGTAATGAGTTAACATTTCTGTTAAATGCTCTACTCCCTGATATTTTATTGGTTGGGGCATAGGTTGTTGAGAATAGCAGTTATGTGCAGTGAGTCTGATTTTGGTGGGACTTTCCAAACCAATGTGGTGAGCTAATTTCTCCACCACATCATCGTAAGTGTGTAGCTTTGACCTAGAAAACAACAAAGAAAAAAAAAACAGTTATAGCATTAGCACCAAATAATAAAACAAAGATGGGCAGTCCAACTATGAGGGACAATGATTAAGTACTAACAATTCTAAACAAAAACCCTCCTCCATCGGTTTCTCCAAAGTATGGAAATGAACAAGCTGTATAGCATCAAATCATTCAATATCGTTAGGTTTAACATTTAACAAAATACAATTATAAAAATAAAATAAAAAAACACTGACAACGAAGTAAAAGGAGGTGAAAAACCACTGATGGAATAATGAAATCTAATTTAAACTAAAACAGAAAAGGTCGTACCCAGTGCACAAGGCTCCCGCTTTACGCAGGGTCTGGGAGAGGTGAATGTCGGCTAGCCTTACCCCCATTTATGGAGAGGCTGCTCCCAAGTCTCAAACCCGAGACCTACCGCTCATGGGCGAAGGCACTTGCCATCGCACCAAGTGCGACCTCTAATTTAAACTAAAACAGAAAAAGAAAAAAAAATTCCGCAGCCTGTACCCGGCGATTGTGCACATAGTTCAAAAATGAAGGAACATCAGGGTATATGGCCATTTCAAGCGGAGTAGATTTCTGAAAGCATATAATGTCCCCATCTCCAATCTGGAAAAGCAAAGCAACAGATTAACTACCCACAAACCTATAAAAGCGTAAACCTTAAACACATATTTACAACATACCAAGCATGCAATATAGCAACAATTACCAGGTTCGACTGAAACGAGGACATCTTAACAATGCGATAGCACATGACAACAGGCTCAAATTTTACTTCCTGAATGTAGGACAAACACATACATTAGTTTTTGTATAAGAATGGTAAAGCGAAGCATGCAGCAAATTATAAACTTACATATACATTCTACATGTACGTATATATTAAGTTAAAGACACAGCTGATGCTACGAAATTAATGTGAAACAACCTCATAAATTTCAAGTTCTTCATCAAGGGGAAAACCAGCAAATTGATTCAACTTTGCTAAAATATCTACTGGCTGTGAAGATTTCTTCACAAAAAGCCTGCCAACAAAACTGGAAACAGAAAAGAAACTTAAATCAGCAAACATGAGTCAAAGGAGAACTATTTGGCTGAGCAGAAAGAGCCATACCGTATTTCTTGTTTCTCAGGATCATAAAGCTTAAAAAAAAGCAGGATATCTTCGTTGGTTTTTTCAGGAGGAGGAATAGGATGTAGATTCTGGAGAGTTTATACAAGCAAGAAAATGTAAGAAATGATGTCTTTCATAAAGCAATTGGAACCACAATAAGCCTCAGAACACAGGCAATAACAAGAATATAGTAAGACTGGATTACCGGCCCAAACTCTACTTCCAAAAACAACTCTAGCATGTTATTTGATACCTTGCTACATTGTCCAACCTGTAAAACACAGGGGTCATCATTAGCTCTTCTTGGCACCGATGTACAGCTTAAACACTATCAATCATTTCAAAATCTGAGAGCAAATGTTTATCACTGCCCATCAACCTTTTCTGTACTATAACAACTTCATTTAAAATGCCTCGTCTAATACTGGAAGCATAATGAGCATCGGAATATGCATTAAGAACTTTTTAAAATCCAATTTTGCCAGAGAAATTGACAGTTATAAGTTATAACCGTACATCATTAGTTCATAAACTTGAAAACTTCAGTGTTGGACATAAGCGTACATCATTAGTTCATAAACTTGAAAAGTTCAGAGTCGGACGCAGCAAAGCAAAAATTCAGACAAAATGAGATTTATGAATTACGAAGGAACAAGGAGCAGTGCCTCCGAGTTTAAGGGGGCTTAATCAGTGAAGTACATACTAATTGTAATACATCCAAGTTCATGAATTACGAAAGGAACAAGGAGCAGTGGCATAATCAGTGAAGTACATACTGATTGCGATTCTTCCTGAGGTGTCAATGGTCGACTGGGGCGATATGTGTGGTTTTGTCTCTTGGCCCAAATCCAGAGACGCTGAAACTGCACTGGTATGCCAAACTCTTTTGCAACCTCCTCCTGTTAGCCATTTCCAAATTAGAAATTCTAATAATCAATAAAGCAGAATTCATAATTTTTTTTCCCTCAAAAGTCAGCCTGTACTAGTGTACCTTGAAAAGATTAAAGGGCATTTGTTTGTGAATACGGAATTTACGAACTTTGTCATGATCAACAAGGTCAAAATATATATCCCTTCCAATTTGTTCTGCCAGGTCCTTATCTCGAGCAACCTAAACATATCACTAAACACCAAATGACTGTACTAGCTCATCCGAACAAGCAATGGTGAAAACAGGATACTAGAAAGCTTTACCTTTATAATAGTGTAGTGGAGTGCTTCGTCCTCTTGCTGCTGGAAAGACAAACAGAATCAGAGCTCTGATCGACAAAAAACCTAACCCTAACCCAGTAACCCTAATCTACTGAATCATAACCCTAGCAAATCAACTACTGTAAACAAGTGAATTTTCAAAATTCAAGCAGGCTTGAAAATGCCGGGTAGAACAAGGAACCCTCGGCGATAAAAAATGAAGAATGAAGCAGAAATTTAATGAAAAAACGAGACAGAAAAAGTAGAGGAGGAGTCGGTACGTACATATGACGTTGCAGGAGTATTGATCGCCATTGCTGTCGAGCAGTAAGCAATCGTATCAGTGGAGCTGAGAGACGAGTGAAACGGTGAAAGAGGACAGCGAGAGAGAAGGAGAGTTAGAGGAGTCTTTGTCAAAATCAACTGAATTAGGATTTGACGTTGTAATCTCGTTATGAAGTTTATCTCTGACTCTTAGAATGAGATACTTACTTGTACACCAAGTACATATGACGTTGCAGGAGTATTGATCGCCATTGCTGTCGAGCAGTAAGCAATCGTATCAGTGGAGCTGAGAGACGAGTGAAACAGTGAAAGAGAAGGACAGCGAGAGAGAAGGAGTGTTAGAGGAGTCTTTGTCAAAATCAACTGTATTAGGATTTGACGTTGTAATCTCGTTATGAAGTTTATCTCTCACTCTTAGAATGAGATACTTACTTGTACACCAAGCATACGCATTGTATAAATATAAGCATACGTACATATGACGTTGCAGGAGTATTGATCGCCATTGCTGTCGAGCAGTAAGCAATCGTATCAGTGGAGCTAAGAGACGAGTGAAACAGTGAAAGAGAAGGACAGCGAGTTAGGAGTGTTAGAGGAGTCTTTGTCAAAATCAACTGTATTAGGATTTGACGTTGTAATCTCGTTATGAAGTTTATATCTCACTCTTAGAATGAGATACTTACTTGTACACCAAGCATATGCATTGTATAAATATAAGCATTTGTATTTTTAGCACCCCTCACTCTTAGTGTAGATAATATCGTTTGTTAAAAAAAAAAAAATCATTTAACAACTAATTGAATCACATTATTATGCTTATTCAAAAGAACTTTTTTAGAACCGGCACTACCCGCCTCTTAAAATGTTTTGAACGTGTTTAAAAATAGAGAAAATAATATTTAATAAACAACTAATTGAATTACATTATTTGTAGCTTATTGTGAGGTACTAATTAAAAAAATTAAAAAAAAACTGTACAAAAAAAAAAAAATATTAAAAAACACTGTTTATATGACGAAAATACCCCTACATTATTTCGGTTCCTTTTGAACTTTTTTGTTTGGGGGGGCATTTTTGTCCAAAACTTTTTGATAAAGCCCATGACCCCAAAATGTAACACCCACCCCCTAGTTATAAAAATATTGATGTAATTTAACCCCTCAACGTTTTTAATATATCAATTTGGTTCTCTTTGACTGCCCTATCAGGATCTAAGCTTTGGATTCTTTTTATTTTTCAAGCTGCCATGTGGCAGCACCCCAAGCAATTTCTTTCTTCTCTCTCTATCCCCCCCTGTGAACTCTTCCTTCTTTCTTCTTCTTTTCTGTTTTCTTGTATGTCCTGTCTTTCTCTCCATCTCGGCTCTCTCTCATCTCTCACTTCTCTCCCTCTTCTCTGCACCGCACACGCACGCACACACCCATCGCACCTGGGTGAGGAAGAAGCATCACTCATCATCACCATCTCGTTCTTCTCTCTCCCTCTGTCCCGTGCTGCGAACCCAGAAACCTGGAAAGGAACTCCAGCGAGTTTCTATTTTTCCTGGTGAGGTAAGCTCCAAGCCTTCCATTTTTCGTCCTAGAATATGGTGAATGAGTTTTAAATGAGTGTATTTCGTGATTTTGGGAGGTTGTAGGACGAATTCAAGGCGGGTGTAAGCACACCCATCTCTGGCGAACTGGGGAGTGTCGAGGGATTTTTCGGCCATCTCCGGCCGTTCCACGATGAAAGGAAGGTATAAAAACACTCCCCTCGTCTTGCTTTTCGTTTTGGTACCTAGATCGGGGTCTAAAACCCCTGTTTGCAGTCGATCGAAGCTGTTGAAGCTCCGGTGTTCGTTTCCAGCGAGGCCTGGCCCTCCATGATGTTTCAGGGACAAACGGGCCTTAGGCCCGTGTGGTGAGGCCAGCCCAGGTCCTAACCCAGTTTCATTTTAATTGTTTTAGTAATTGTTAGTTGTTTTAGGACCAAAGGCCTTTGGGCCACTATATTTCAGGGCTCGACGCCCGTGACCAAAACCCAAAACCTTTTTAGGTTTTATTTATTTTCTCTTATAGAAATAAGGCCTTGGGCCATTTTCTATTTATGGCAGTAGGCCCGTGTGTGTTTAGCCCAAACAGATTAGGCCTTGGGCCAATCTGAATTGGGTTTTCAGCCCATTCCCAAACCCATTAGCCTTAGTTTAAAACCCAAAACCCTTAAGGCCTTTCGGCCCAACCCAAAACCCTAAGCCCAATCTGACTTTGACCTTGACCAGTTGACTCTGACTGTTGACTCGGTCAACTGTCAGAGTTGCCTTTGACTTTGACCGGTAAACGGTCAATGTTGACTTTTTGAGTTGACTTTTCGGGATTTCGTTCAGGACCTCTCCTAGGCTAATTTCGATGTCCTGAACTCGTTTTTGAAGTTCGTTTTCCCTAATTCAATCGTTTGAATAGAGTTTGACTAAAGGTACTCCTTTATGTGAATAGGTAAAATTATTAACGGTGATTCCGTTATACCTTTTTGGTAAAGCTTTGCACCATCGGTGTACAGTGAGTGGACCCCTTCAAAAGCATGTTTTAATAATAGAAATGCATACATGAAAAGCATGATTTAATATTTATGTTTTATAAAGTACTTTATGAGATAATATGCTTACTGAGGCTAGTTTGAATTATTACTATTTTTCCTATAACCCATGTTCTTATAGAATATCCGATGGATGACGATATGATATTTAGAACATATTTAGAACACCTCTTTGTAGTATAGATGATGGATGACTTTATACTACGAAGTTGTTTTTCAATATAAATATGTTCAGTGGTTTTTGGTGAAGCCCGTGACCCTAAAAGGGGTTGTTGACTTTATATATAAAGATATGCATTTTTATATGGTATCATGGTGCCCCACTCTACGACATCTTCTTTCTATGGCCTTCGCAACCGCTTCGTTCTCATCCTCTGTTCCCTTTCTTTCTATTGGACCAATGTGTCAACTATATTTCAATGAGGAAATTAAAATTACTAAGTAATTTTAAAATGACGGAAATTGAAATGACGAAATTTAATTTTTCAGAATTTATGAATTTCTTTTCTAATTATGAATTTTCTTATTTGGTTAACCTAAAAAACAATGGAATTTGAATACGTAATTTTTACTTTTAAACTTTCACTTTTTAAGGAAAAATTACACTTAGAGAATAATTTCAATACTTAATTATATATTGAGATTACACTTTTTAAATATTTCAAGGAGGGACATTTTTTTAAACCAGTGTAAGATGACATCATGTCCTATTTTTCCGTTAGAAACGGAATTACATATTTACCTTTCCCTTTTTTGTTAAACGTGATCGGCGGAGATTGACGGAAATATAGCTTTAGATTTACTCTCTTCTATTCGAATCATTCAATTTCTTTTTTTGTTTCTCTGCTATTTTTGGTCCTCTCTGAAGTTTATCTCTCAAGTTTGTTCGAAGGTAAGTTGTTCTTTTGGTTTTATATTTAAATTTTCTTTGGCATTAGTTTTACATAATCATAAAGAATCACTTTGTTACACCCACCCCTAATTTAAATTGTATTTTCACTAAATTTGAGTTTATCTTGTTTTTAAAATTGTTTTTGGGTCTTAATAGGTGTGCCAAGGGGCCCACTTTTGTTTGTTGTCCCCCGGGTCCAAGCCTTCCATCTCTCTCTCTCTCGGTCTCACTCTTTCTCTCCTTCTCTCTTTCCCTCTTTCTTCTCTCAACTCTCTCTGCACTCTTTCTTTCCTTCTACCCGAGCGCCACACACACACAGACATATGTACACCTAGACAGCAACCACTCACCACCATCATCTCTGGAACTTTCTTCTCTCTCTCCCCATCTCGGCGAAGCTCCGGGACACCCAGAAAACACCCATGTCTCCCCCGACGACTCCGGCGACTTTCAAGGAAATTTTCGGCCAAACCAAGGCAAGTTGGTCAGCGTGCAAGATATCAATCTCTTCGTCTCATTGAGTACTACAACTTTCCTTTTTGTTTCACCCAATTTCGTTGAGTATTTAAGAAGTTATATCCGTTTGAATCTTACCCAGTTTTCGGCGACCTACGCGGCGTTCGAGGCATTTTTCAGCCAAACCACGATGAGATAGATGTTGTACAAGGTACTATTCTCTTTGTCTCTTCGAGGGCTACAACATTCATTTTTGTTTCACTCGATTTTGTTGAGTATTGACAAAGTTATTGATGTTTAAAGTTACCCAGAAATTCTGGCGGAAAGCCCAGTTTTCTCGGCGAACCCGTGCCTTCCAGGCCATTTTCCAGCCAACTCTAGCCACGATGACGGGAACCAAGGGTATATTTCGATTCCTTACCTTCGGGGCTTCAATTTTGGTATATTGAATGACATGTTTTGGTTGAGTTTTGAGCTCCATCGGAGCTTGGGAATTCTCCGGCTGAAATCCGGCCTTCTCCTCCCTTTGAATCCGGCGACCCACCAACCTAAGGCCTTTGGGCCTTTTCTGCCGAGCCTAACCCAAAACCCATTTCAGTTTTTATTATTTATTTTATTAATTGTTTTAAGTTAAAGGCCTTTGGGCCAAATTTAGCTAAGACCCTAAGCCTTTTTATCTAAAAACCCAAAACCCTTAAGCTGAAGGCCTTCGGGCC